CCCTCTCTCTCTCCCCTCCACCATCTAATCATCTTTTCTAACTCTACCACTACTCCCTTATCCTACCTCTCTTCTTTCTTTTTTTCCCTACCTCGCTCCTCTCCTTCCCGCTGTTCTCTCATACCCCTACCTCACTCATCTTCCACCATCTTTTTCTCCCCTCTCCTCCTTACTGCGAGGCATAGGGCCTCGATATGCCCTACAGGGCCTATTTTTCACACCGTCGGCCGCCCTAAGTGAAGGCAGGCACGACTGAGGCCCTACATACCATTTTGGGGTCACCACCCAACTGCCGAAATTCAGGCAGTTGCGCAGCGCCAGTTGGTTGGAAGCGCCCAAGCCCAGGCTGCCGTTCATTGCATGTAACTAAGGCAGGCCCTGGGCCGGATACACAAAGTGGACCGAACAAAGGCTGAGGGCAGTTGGGTGCTGGTAACCGCCACAGACCCTGGGCCTATTTACTTCGGACTGAGGCTCAGCCTCGTGGGGCCTACCGGAAGCTTCTAGGCCAGGGCCCAGTACCTCACTACTACATGCAGCAGCAGGCCACTTCGATAAACGGAAGGGCCTGCCTCCGCATTGGACATTCGGGCACTAGCTGCTTTGTGCGCAAGCGCTGCTGTGCTATTGCTGGCCAGGCTCACGCGCTCACGGGCGAGCTGGAAGGAGCAGGCAGCCAGAGCCGAGCTACGCTGCTGTATGCTGGATGGGGCGCATGGTGGTCCTTGGGTGCATGTGGCATCTGTGAGTTGGGGAACGAGGTTGTGAGCGATACGAGAGACATACCTGGTGCTTGAAGCGTGCGGCATTGTCCGAGATCTGCTCGTACTTCGGGGAGTTGTTGTTGTCATCAGCGGCATTGTAGTCTAGGCTAGATAGGATCTGCCATTTGTAGTCTGGGCGCCGATCACCAAATAGGATATCGACATTGGTTCTTTGTTGATGATGATGAGGCTATTCCAGCATTGTCAATTATGAGCTTTTGCTGTGTTCTTATTTGGTGAAACTCGTGATGCAATTCTACTATTGGTTCGAGGTCACGACTATCTGGTCTCATGTGTATGATGCTGTTTGATTTTTGAAGTTCGCTATTGCTCATCTTCCTTGCAATTTGGTATCGGAGTTGTGGTTCGGTGCGCTAATCTGGTGCTTATCTTCTGCCTAATGCGGTACATGCACGCGGTGTGTGCGGTGAGCGACCTTGTCGTTGGACGTGTGTAGTGACAAGGGCGAAGATAAGTTGGCGACCCAGGTGGAGACGGGATCGTCAGGAAGGCTATGTGATGTGATATTGCGTGTTCGCAGTGTGATGAGAACTACTCGATGTGTGATTGGTGCTGAGGTGGAACGGCTGTGCAATGCTGGTTGTGCCGCAGCAACGATAGGTCATCACAATCAACATCGGGTCATCTGGTGAGAATATTTGTGGTTGGAGGCAGTTATTTTGAGGTACGTTGCACCTAACCTTATCTACCCTCTTCAACACTTCTTACTATGAGGATGTGTGTTCTGTCTTGAGAGTCCTCTCATGTGAGTCATGTGCGCTCAACCTTGAGAGTCGTCATCCTTCACGTGGAGCATCTGGAAGGAGAGGGCGGTGCTATTTGAAGGGCCCTAGACGAAGCAACGGGTCACGGTCACCATGCCAACCCGCCGGGAGTAGAGCACGCATGCTTTGCTGCTTTGTCCTTTGTTTGCTCGTTGCGCTGTAGAGGGGTTCTGAAGGGCAGGCCAGCCCTATGGGACAGACGAGACCGGGTGTCTATAAATACGCACCGACGGGGTACCTTCCATTGGCTGTGATCGTCGTCCTGTCTGCGATGTTAAAGAATTCCTGAGGACTTCGGGGGCCGTCCATAAAAAACGCCTCTTGATCAGCCAATCGGTCGGTGTAAGGCTCGCTGCACGCGAGGTTAAAGACTGTGCAGGGCTGGCCAGCTCACAAGGACTCGGGACACAGGGGTGGGCCGTGTGCACACCTTAAGACACGCACGCTATCTGGATCGCTCATGGACGTTGATGACAAGAGACATTCAAGAAGAACTGAGGGAGGGATAGATTCCAGGTGATAAGTTCGGGCAAGATCCCATTCTGCAAACACACAACAAATGATTCTATTTTTATTTTGATTAGTTAGATGTACAACCATTAACATCTGACATACATCATTAGTTAGAATTGTTTTCTGTTCCTTGTGCTTTTTGTTTGCGGACTAGTCAAAGTGAAATAGTTTTCGTTTGTAGGAATCTGAACTTAGCTGTTGGTTCCAAATGTTATCTCTGACATAGCCACCAAAATCGGTCTGTACATCATGTTGTGGTAGGCATCAAGAGTGTCCTAGTGCAGACACTATACAGTGCTGTAGCCTATGAGTGACAGGGAGGTCCCACAACCGGACGATAGGATTTTGCAATCGGCAAGACGCCCAATAACCCACTTGGTGTTAGGACCAGAGGGTGACAGATACCTGTTCCGCCAGCAGAGAGAAAGACAGCAGCAGCAGCGGAGGGCTAGGGCCGTAAAGGCAAGCAGGGCATTCGTAAGCAAGGCCGCTACTTCAGCAATCATGGCATCTGCTGCGCAGCAGAGCTCTCAGGCTAGTGGGTCAAGTTTTGTAGGGTCAACGGTCGCGCAGACCCTGAGTCAGTCCATTGGCGTCATGGCAAGCCAACCATTAGTGATGACTCCCGAGGAGGTCGCCATACAGCGAGCTGCTGATCGCGAGGCACAGCTACATCAGGCTTTAGGAGAGATTAAGGCAGAAAAAGAAAGAATGATTAGAAGAACCATGTTGCAGCGAAGACAAGCGGATATTAGCGAGTTAGAGGAGATGGACCCAGCAGAGTTGGATGATGAAGTGAGGACCCTCAGGTCGGTCTTGCTAGGTGTAGTAGAGATGCAAAATCACCAAATGGCGATCTTACAGGACATTCAACAGAGCTTGGCAATGTTGGTCGGGCGAGCGCAAGTGGCACCATCGCCATCCGGGCCCGGTGCCTGGCCCGTTGAACATCCTCCTCATTTTGTCCCACCGGTGACTGGGGTATCCCATATACAGCTCCAGCATCGGTATAGACCGTTTCCCTGGGTACGCCATTAGTAGGAGGATTCTCAGCAGGTCCTAGTGTATAGATCCCTGTACAGACAGTGTTCTCCCAACCTCCATCCCAGGTTGCCGTAAGTGGGCAGCCTGCTGTCTCGCAGCCTGCACAGCCCCAGGGTACACAGCCCCAGCAGCTAGTGCAGCAGCCTGCACCACAGGGTCCACCGCTCGGACTGGTACAGGTACTGGGACAAAGTCAGTGGGTTCCAAAGACGGCCATCGCCGCTCCTAAACCCTTTACAGGGGCTAAGAGGAGCGAAGACCTCGACACATGGTTGAGGGCAGTGTCAGTCTATGTCAAGTGCAAACTTACCTTGCCGCACGAGGAAGTGCATGTGGATGCCTTCTATCTAGAGGGGAGTGCAGCAAGATGGTTGAGTGGTTTAGTGCAGTTACAGGGGTACGGTCATGACTTTCACGCTTGGGCGGTCACCCAAAAACTGGATGACTTTCTCAAGTTGGTGGAAGAGAGGTGGCATGATCCTCAAGAGGCCCAAAAGGCTACTGACGCGATGCTGACACTGCATACCAGGCAGTTTAAGAGAGGCCACTGATGCAGTAGAGCGTCTGATCTGTGTCCCTGGGGTGCGCTATGACCCCCAGGTTCTACTCACCTCCTACCTGAGATGCTTTCCAATGCCTCTCAGGAATCAGTTAGCAGGTGAGGCCAACATCAACATGCACAACTTCCCGTCGTTTAGCAAGAAGGCCCTAGACCTGAAAGCAAAGATAGGGCATGGTCAAACACCCACGACAAATGGTAGGAAGAAGTCACTGCCTCCCTACTGGAAAGCGAAGGGTCGCATCATGTTCGTCGACAACGATGGTTCAATCATCGAGTTAGATGACAACTTCTAGGAAGGAGTAGGTTGAGAGGCTGGCAGCGTAGAAACTTCAGGGGGTGGGGTAGTCGTTGCCGTAGCACAGAAAGGTAAGGCGACCGGTAGACGCCGAGGAGGTTCCCGGTCAAGGGGTCAAGTTGACCCCAATGCTCCTCCATGGGAGAAAGCGGGTGTAAGTGAGGACGTGTGGAGAGATCGGTACACGCGGCAGGCTTGTATCCGTTGTGGCTAATATGGCCATAACCAATTCAAGTGCCGGAATAAGAAGGTGACCGAAAAGATCCCGCCTACGATGGGGCAGGCGTTGGGATCCTCTACTCCCGTTGGCAGCGGTGTGGCCAGCGGTTCTGGCACTGCTCCGGGAAACGCGTCGGGCCAGTAGGAATAGTAGCTGTTCCTGCTAGGGTCGAGGTGGTCGAGACACCCTCACCATCTCGAGAGATGGCCCAAGCTACTGACTCCATCGTCGTCCCGCAAACACGTTCAGACCCATCGAGCCTCTGTTCGATGAATGTGTTTGAGTCCTTAGAGGAGCTAGAGGAGGAGTGGTCTGGATCAGACCCACTAGCTTCTTGGACGGCATTGGCTAAAGCCCCTAAGGGAGAGATGTTCGTCAACAAGGTAGTCATCGGCGACCTCAAGGCCGGGGCCTATTCTGACACTTGCTCGACCAGGAACTTCATTAGTCCCGCGTGCGTTGAGAGGCTGCGCTTACAGGGGCAAGTGCAGTGCCTGAGTCAACCTGTGGAGTCGACCTGTGCCAACAAACAGCGCATGGTAGTCAACGACTATTTCCAGGATGTTGAGTGTTGTTTCCCGTACGCGGGAGGGGAACTGAGACATCGCGTATCGTTCCTAGTGAGCGATGATCTCCCTATGGATATCTTGTTAAGTATGTACTACCTCTCCGTTGCACAGCCCAGTTTGACTGGGACCGAAAAGTGGTCAAGCACATTTTGCCAGGTGGAGGGACCGCCAGATTACGTAAGTTCAAAGCTAGTAGTCTGATCAAGTCCTACGGATGCATGTGTGCGGCCGCATTCTATAACTACTATAAGCAAAATCAGGAGCAGGGTATGTATCTAGTTTATGTCTCTGCTGGCGAGCCGGTGAAAATGCCGCCGGAGATAGAGGGAGTAGTTGCTAAGTACCCTGATCTATTTGAAGAGCCGACAGGGGTTGTTGAGAGGGAGGTAGTCCACGCAATAGAGATTATCCCAGGGTCTAGCATCGCGAAGTGTAGGATCTATCGGATGTCTCCAGGCGAGCTTGATGAGCTTCACCGGCAACTCAAGGAACTCATAGAGAAGGGATGGATCCGGCCAAGTGTCTCCCCTTACAGATCGCCAGTTTTAATTGTGCCAAAGAAGGGGGGTACGCTGAGGATGTGCATTGACTATAGGGGCCTCAATGCCATCACTGTCAAGAGCCGAGAGCCCCTACCGCGCATCGACGATTTGCTAGATAGAGTGCAAGGGTGCTTCAGTAAGATAGATCTGAGGTCTGGGTACCATCAGATTGCGATCCGGCCCAAGGATCAACACAAAACCGCTTTTCAGACCTGGTACGGTCTGTACGAGTTTGTGGTGGTGCCTTTCGGCCTTTGCAATGCTCCTGGCACCTTTCAACACGCTATGAATCGGATCTTTCATGACGATCATCGTGTACCTCGATGACATACTTATCTTTAGTAGGACTGTCGAGGAGCACATGGCTCATTTGGACAAAGTCCTTAGTCTTCTTCGACAACACAAGTTCAAGATCAACGGTGAGAAGTGCGAGTTTGACCGCACCCGTATCTTGTACTTTGGTCATGAGATCTCCACGAAGGGATTGAAGCCCGATGACGCGAAGGTGACCAGCATTCGTGACTAACTGCGTCCTCAGTCTGTGACTAAGATGAGGTCTTTCTTAGGGATGACCGGCTACTACCGTAATTTTGTTAAGAACC